CAAATAAATGGTTTCGATGTATATCTTTGGTCATGTGAAAATGGACTCCATCAATGGGAAGCACCTTATAAAATCCAGAAGAATAAATTTGAATGGTGTCCAGTTTGTTTCCACCATACTGATGAGCGTCGTTGTAAATATATTTTTGAGGATCTGTTAGGTAAGAAATTTCCATCTTGTAAACCGTCATTTTTGAATGGGATGCAATTAGATGGATATAACGAAGAACTAAAATTAGCATTCGAATTCCAGGGTATCCAACACTATCATCGCAATAGTTTATATCACAAAAATCAAGATGATCTAGAATCACAGAGGAAACGCGATCAAAAAAAGCGGGATATATGTGCTCGAGAAGATATAAATCTTATTTGTATCCCGTTCGATTGTGATTTATTTCCCTATATAAAAAGCAAATTACAAGAGAGAGGTTATTTATCGTATAAAGAATAAATATTACTTATCTTGGCTAGAATGAAAGATAAAGGCATGCCCATATATGTATATAATATCAATGAGACATCTAAAAAATCATCAGAACGAATGAAGGGTAATAAGTATTCACCAGACTGCCCATTTAGGATGCTTATAAATGGAAGCTCAAATAGCGGAAAAACTAACATGGAAATAAATCTCATGCTTGGTGACAAACTACAATGCATGTTCAATGGAAAAAAAGGTGATCGGTATATTAGAAATGATGATCTCAGATTAGTAGCCAAACATTTTGAACCAAAATGGCAACTTGTACAAAATAGCTATCAGATCTTCGCAAATGCTCCAAAACCATATCGAGAAGATGTTACATTTAAATGGATATTACCAGATAAGATTCCAGATATAACTAAATTCTCTCCGGAACGAAGTACAGTTATTGTTTTTGAGGATCTATGTGCCGAACCCAAAAAAGTGCAAGAACGAATTATTCCTTACTTCATTAGTGGCCGTCATCAAAATGTCCCACCTATATACGTATCACAGAAATATACACAAACACCTAAAATTATTCGTGAAAATATCTCACATTTATGCCTATTTCGGGGCTCGGGTAGTAGAGACGATATTAGTAGAATCGTACGTCAATATACAGATGATCCAAAAAAAGCGTCCAAGATTATTGATAAGCATTTGCGGGATCGAGAATTCGTGGTTTTCGATTTTACTAAGGCAGTAGACGATCCTCTAGCAGTTAGATTGGGATGGGACACCCCCCTGAAATTAGATGAATAAAGTGTGATATCCCGCCTTCTCATGACTTCATCACTCGAAGCCAGATATTATAGTTAACAATATATTATTTTCAATCGATTAATTATATATCTTTTTTCGAATTTGAGAGAAAAAAAGGAAATAAACATGGCCCACCCTCTCATTATTCCAGAGTTGCTCGAAAACATATTCAGTGTCTTAGCCAAAGATAAAGCGCTCTATCCTGCTTTATTTGTCAATCGCCTTTGGTATCACTGCAGTGCTCCAATTCTATGGAGACATATTGAGTTTTCCATAGAAGGTTATCGGCAGAACCGATGTAATAAAAATATATCTGGACCTCTTTATTGGCAATTAAGAAAGTTTAAAAGAGTTATATGTGAAAAGACAAAACCTCTCTATTGCTCAAAGGTGGTGTATCTCAAATTGGCGGGTTTAAAAATCTCGGATACATTACTTAGTGAAATTTTGTGCTCATGTCCGAATATAAACTTTCTTATTCTTGATCGAAGTTATGGTTTTAGTAATATACCAATTATAGAAATTGCAAAATATTGTCCGAAGCTACTACATCTGAGTCTTGATGCATGTACAGCTATTACTGATAGATATGTTAGTGAAATAACACAATCTTGTCCAAATTTAAAATACATAAGTCTCGCTTCTTTGTATAGAGATAGTAACATTTCCAGTGCAACTGTGATTGAAATAGCACGATCTTGTCCCAATCTAGTATATTTAAACCTCAATGGACAACCTTTTATTAATGATGAATCAATTTGTGCAATTGCACGCTCATGTGTAAATCTTCAACACCTGGATTTGTTGTTTAATGAAATAATTATGGATGAAGCTATATGTGCGATTGCAACTGGCTGTCCAGATATGCGAAATTATTTTCTCAAAGACTGTGGATGGATAACCGATAAATCAATCAAAAAAATTGCACAGTTAAATTGAAACCTGCAAAAGCTTATTCTTACTTCCTGTTACAAAATTACAGATAATGCTATATGCGATATAGTCCGTTCATGTTCAAACATTCAGAATCTTAGTTTTCAATATATTTATATCACTGATAAAACGATATATGAAATTACACATCACTGTTCCAATTTACTAGTTCTCAATGCAAAGAAATGCCTGTTTATTTCTGATGAATCAATCTACTTCCTATTAAGCAAAAAACCGGTGCTAGAGCTAATATTAGATTGGGTTCCGTGATCAACCCCTTGAAATTTCTAATAAGTACATGATTTCAGATATTTTAGGGATTTTTCCACCTCTTGCAATTCTATCCTCTTTTCTTCAACCTCATATCGCAATTTCTTATTTTCATTAACCCGCTTTTCATGCTCTAAAGTAATTTCTCGCATAAATTTACCAAAAGTTTCTTCATTATATTCAAGTAATCGTCGACATAAAATATCTAATTCTTTCTTAACATGACGATTGATTTCTTCCTCATGATTACAGGTGCAGATCGGATTAATATTCTGGGTTTGGGTTTCTTGATTAGTCATATCTATATATGTCTTGACACTAGCTTTGTTATTATATGATAAATTTTCAAGTAGTTCTATAGTTTGGATTTGTTTTTTACGTTTTCGATTTAATCCTTTTTCATATACCTCTAATGTATGATACAAATAAGCCTCAATTCGATTGCATTTTTCAGAAATTTGCTTTGAAGTAACGGGGGATCTAGAGTGATGTAAAAGCCTATGGTATGCCCTCTTGACTAGACTTTTTGGAAGCTTCGCTATAATGGGGTTGTAATCAGGATGAAACATTGAATATTAGTTTGCGCACAAAAAGTTTGCAGGCAAAAAAAAATGGTCTATATAATTCCATAATCGTTTTTGTAATTGATCTTTTTTATTTGTGTGTTATTACTCCGAAATTGGTAATCCATCATCAGATTTAAATGTGGTTGAGTCATGCTAGAGTTGAGCTAGAGTTGAGCTAGAGTCACGCTAGAATTTTTTCTATATAGTTATATGAAAAATGATACACTCATGCTTGAGTCGCGCTAGAGTCGTGCTAGAGTCGTGCTAAATTATAGTAAATCATTTCTAATCACTGCTAATTCTTATTTTAGAATTAATTGGAAAAAAGCAATATTCATTTGATTCATGGTCTTTGATCTTTCGCGATCTACCTTTTTCGAGTATACATTAGCAGAGCTAGCAAGGTTAATATCTTTGCAAAAATCTGAAGAGATCCATAAATATTTTTGACACTAATAGTGATATATGGGAAAAAATCGAAATATATATTAATATTAATATGCATGATTTTAAGAATCGAAACCATGTGCGGTTAATCCAATTTTAGGGATCCCTGCATATAGTCGCACAAGACATCAACTGACCATATTTGCACGATGTAGATGTTCTATGAACTTAGCCAAATTAGTTTGATGACATTAAATCTAATGTTGCAAAGTTAATAAGTAACAATATTTTCGGTTTACATGGGAATCTGGCACAAAAAAAACCCCCATTAAAAATGTTGATCGTCAACTATCAATGTAAAATAGTTGTGACGTATTATTCGATTCTGACGAAATTTTTGTTGTTAAAGTAGAAATTATAATAAAATTCGGCTTAACGAAATAATTTTTATTAAATATGATTTAGTTAGCCAATTTTGCATCGTTATAAAGCGAAAATCGGTTTATGGTAGTTCGGTTTATTGAGATTTGACTGTAGATAGATTTATTCAAAATTTCGAATTAATAAAAAATTATGTGCGCGTTACAATTTGTAACGCTGATCACTTTTATCGTCTATGATATATATACTACTTTCGTAACGCACCAAGAAAAAATTCTCGATCATGCACTTATTTTTTATTTTTCTGATGCATATACGCATCGCATCATAATCAATGCCTAATCAGGCGATTATGCAATATAGATACAAAATAAGATATACAAATTAACTATATTTAGTATCACAATATAAATAAGATCTCAATTGATTCGTGCTGTTTTCATTTTCTTCGTTTTCTTGGTAGGAGTGTGAATCATTCGTGTCGTCATCTTAATAGCTTCAACTCCACCACCACTGGCCCACAAAAAATCTCATATAGTTCTTAAGCCTTCAGATAATAGGCGCTAATTTAAAAGAATTTAAAAATGTTAATTTTGTGTTCTCTGTATTCAGTTTTTTCTGAATCCATTTATACGAACCTCATACTTCAACAAGCCCATTATAGCTTCATCAGCTTTTGCCATATCTGCCCATGTTTTAGGTAGGGGAAATGTCAAGATCGCTTCTGTAGTGTAAATCTCGGTATATTTTAGCTGGAATTCATATATAGTCAACTCATTTACTATAAAACACAGAGTTAGTAGTGCATAATAACAATAATACACAAAAAAAATTTAAAAACTTACAATAAGCTTGTAACCCATATAATTTGATTAACGTGATATCTGAGCTTGGTTTGAGTTTGGCAAATTTATTCATTAAAGTTTTTAACATCTTCATGATCTTCATACGATCACCCCAAAAATGTGCCCAATCATTTTTCAGTGGGGGTCCACTGACTTCAGTTACTGAGAACTCTTTGTCTTCTTCTCTCATACAAATAATTGTATCAATCTTTTTTCCTGAAGATCGGTGTTCGACATCTTTTTTATTGGAATTAACATCTTGTGCACATGCCTTGAGGCATGTTTCTCCATATGAAACAAGCCAATCTTTTTTATTTTTGTTAAAGAAGTAATCAAGAATGGGTGCTAGAACGTTTATGATATAGGTTCCCTCGGACATAGGATCATAAAACAAATTCACATCTTCCATCACTTTTACCCTATATAAGGTTAGTTTCATTAGCCTTATCACACTTCTCGATGAATCAAATAATCAAATAAATATACTTACATATGGCTTACAAAATGTAATGCGAACCTCTTTTCAAATGAATCAATTTTTTTAGCATTTCGATGATTAAGATTTTCTTTAGTCTTCTTAATATCGCGATCAATAATACTTTTCAGAAATGACTTAATCTCTTGGTTCATATTATCATTTGTGTCTACTTCTGGCCTCCTTATTTCCTTACGCATCTGCGCAACAATACCTTTATCTAACGTTCCTAGGAAACCGTCTTCATCATTTAAATTGAAAAAAATAATGTCGTAATATTCTGGATTGGTTTTAGGTGGATTTACATCAAGCTGATATTTTGCCAACTTTTCTCTGATATTAATTCCACTAATAATCCAATCAATACTTTTTCCACCGACAATAGTTAAATCTGCATTGAATTCATCATCCTCTTCGTCTATATCATGATCATGCTTATTTCCAACTAGAAAAGGATTTGGTACAGGTTGTTTATAAATGTGAACCGGAAAAGTATCATAAAGAGAAATCTCTTCTTCTTCATCAGGAGTATGTGCCTGTTGAAGATGAGGAACGTCACGCACGGGGGAAAAATCTTCTATTCTTGTTCGTTTTGTAGGAGGATGATTAGTCTGGTCGTCCTAAAGTATTAAATTATAGTTCTTATTACAAAACATAATGAATTATCACGCTGTTTATTGATTTATTATATACCTTTTTTTGAAGGCCCAGGTCAGTATCCTCTAAACGTTTCGCAAGCTTCTCCTGTACAATCCGTCCTTGTCTATATGTAGAGTACACAGCGTTTGTAGTATGTTCCTCCTATGAAATGAACAGGGTTAATGTTTCCATATCATACATCTTGGTATATTACAGATCAAATGCTCCATACCAACAAAGCTTCGCGTTCAGCTATAGCTCCCAACTTCCTCCTTTGCACCGATGTAGCACTCTCCCAGAATTCTTTTACTAGCTGTGTTTTCTTTTCCTTCTATTAACGATATAATATTTTTTAGTTTGTGAAAGACAAGTTCACCAAATACTATACTACAAGCCACAACTAATGCAACTCCAGTTGCAAGGACGGAACCACCCGAGCCTCAACTCATGCACTTCCCGGCCTCAACCAAGAGTGTTGGGCGATTGAACGCAGGCCTCAACCCCATCCAAAAGGTTATACACCCTTCAGACCCGTCCACTGCTAAATCAGAATGTATTTTCAATTGCAATGGGGCATGAAAAAATACTTAACTTGCATTGAGCCAATTGCTCTGCCAGCCCGTCTCAATAAATGTACTGGTATTTCTTCACAACTCATTATATTTGTAAGGCTCAGGGAATATCGATGATGCTCTTCGCCTTTATTGGGCAGAAAATCACTGCATTGTTGGCGATAGAGTAAAAAACCCAACAAAGACCAGTCGTGATTAGTTGTGAAATAGTCTGGATCTTTTACTGAGATTCCTAACGAGAAGAAACTTTAATCACCAAGAAAGGCCGAAATCCCAAAACAAAACGTGCGGAGAGAGTACAAACTTACCTTCCAATGTTTCGGCCAGCGTGGTGTCTGCAGTAGATGTAGAAGCTGAGGCTGTTGACATGGTTTATTGGTATATTATTACTGTTATTATTATTATTAATATTATTATTATTGTTATTATTTATTAGTATTATATAAATTATAAAACTTAAATCTTAAAAAAATCTTCCAAAAACAAAAATAAAAAAATTATGATTTTACAAATAAAATTTCTAAATTTTTAAAATTGTAATTAACTTGCTTGATTTGTCAAGGTTTGTCTATTCACTAAATCGTAATATAAACCTTTCTGAGAAATCAATTCTGAATGTTTGCCACTTTCCACAATTTTACCTTTCTTACATACTAATATCAAATCAGCATTTTGTATTGTTGATAATCTGTGCGCAATAGTTAAGGTCGTACGACCTTTACTTGCTTTATCTAATGCAACTTGAACAACCTTTTCACTTTCCGAATCTAAAGCTGATGTTGCTTCGTCAAGTAACAATAATTTTGGTGATCGTATCAATGCTCTTGCGATTGCAATTCTTTGTTTTTGCCCGCCGCTTAATCCTCTAGCAGTTAGATTGGGATGGGACACCCCCCTGAAATTAGATGAATAAAGTGTGATATCCCGCCTTCTCATGACTTCATCACTCGAAGCCAGATATTATAGTTAACAATATATTATTTTCAATCGATTAATTATATATCTTTTTTCGAATTTGAGAGAAAAAAAGGAAATAAACATGGCCCACCCTCTCATTATTCCAGAGTTGCTCGAAAACATATTCAGTGTCTTAGCCAAAGATAAAGCGCTCTATCCTGCTTTATTTGTCAATCGCCTTTGGTATCACTGCAGTGCTCCAATTCTATGGAGACATATTGAGTTTTCCATAGAAGGTTATCGGCAGAACCGATGTAATAAAAATATATCTGGACCTCTTTATTGGCAATTAAGAAAGTTTAAAAGAGTTATATGTGAAAAGACAAAACCTCTCTATTGCTCAAAGGTGGTGTATCTCAAATTGGCGGGTTTAAAAATCTCGGATACATTACTTAGTGAAATTTTGTGCTCATGTCCGAATATAAACTTTCTTATTCTTGATCGAAGTTATGGTTTTAGTAATATACCAATTATAGAAATTGCAAAATATTGTCCGAAGCTACTACATCTGAGTCTTGATGCGTGTAGAGCTATTACTGATAGATGCGTTAGTGAAATAACACAATCTTGTCCCAATCTAGTATATTTAAACCTCAATGGACAACCTTCTATTAATGATGAATCAATTTGTGCAATTGCACGCTCATGTGTAAATCTTCAACACCTGGATTTGTCGTTCAATGAAATAATTACGGATGAAGCTATATGTGCGATTGCAACTGGCTGTCCAGATATGCGAAATTATTTTCTCGAAGGCTGTGAACGGATAACCGATAAATCAATCAAAAAAAATTGCACAGTTAAATCGAAACCTGCAAAAGCTTATTCTTAATTCCTGTTACAAAATTACAGATAATGCTATATGCGATATAGTCCGTTCATGTTCAAACATTCAGAATCTTAGTTTTCAATATATTTATATCACTGATAAAACGATATATGAAATTACTCACCACTGTTCCAATTTACTAGTTCTCAATGCAAAGAAATGCCCGTTTATTTCTGATGAATCAATCTACTTCCTATTAAGCAAAAAACCGGCGCTAGAGCTAATATTAGATTGGGTTCCGTGATCAACCCCTTGAAATTTCTAATAAGTACGTGATTTCAGATATTTTAGGGATTTTTCCGCCTCTTGCAATTCTATCCTCTTTTCTTCAACCTCATATCGCAATTTCTTATTTTCATTAACCCGCTTTTCATGCTCTATAGTAAT